ATGTTGGCTTGGGAGCCCATATATAGGCTCGATACGATTCTGAACTGTCAGAGGTACCGACCTTTCTCTTTCTTCCCTAGTGGACGGTACTTAACGGAGGTTTCAATTCTTTCTGGTTCAACTCTCCCCTGGCTTTCTACTAAGACTTGTTGTACAATACCCCGAATTCTGGCTTCATCAAGGGCAGGGGGAGTAGGTTCTGGCGGGTTGGAAGGTTCCCCCGCACTCATTGTCTTTCTACTACTTGCCCAAGTTCTATGTTTCATCTGCAAGACACCCACACTTGAAGTTACTCAAAGAATGCATTTACTACTATAAGTAAGGAAAGATTTAACTTACAACAATCGACTATGGAATGTCAAAGTGGTGAGAGTGGCACACTGTCAAATCCCAAAATCTTTGCTCTGATACCAAAAATGTAATAGATTCTTTTCTACTAGTATACTTAAAAAAAATATATACTAAGAAACCCCACATATTTATTATATGAAAAGTAGATGGGCCCAAATTTTTCTTTACTTAACATATAATTCTTTACATAATACAAAAATAGCATAAACAAAAACTTTTGCAGTGGTGGACAATAGTGCCATTTCTCTCTACTTCTTGACATCCATCCAACTGCTTCTCACCTATTTCTTGCAAAACGTGGAAAAATAACGGGGTGAGCACAAAATGCTCAGTAAGTAATCCTCTACTCTTCCATCCACGTGACTTTCTCTTTGGTTCTTTCCTCACTCTATTCTTTCTCTTCTTCATTCTCTCTTTGTTCTTTCTTTGTTTCTAATTCTCACTGTTTTTCCTTTCTTTCTAATTCTCTCTATTCTTTCTTTCTTTCTGTTCTTTCTTTCTCTTTGTTCTTTCTTTCTTTCTGGTTCTTTCTTTCTCTCTAACCATGATGGAAACCACAGTAACATGCATGGATGAGATGCACATGCACTAATGCAAAGAAATGCATTTTCTCTATTCTTTTCTATTTCTTATCCTGTTTCTTTTCTTGCTTGCTCAAGCTTTCTCATTCTTTCTTTCTATTTTTTCTTTCTATTCTTTCTTTTCTTTCATTCTATTCTTTTTTTCTATTCTTTCTTTTCTTGCCGATCGGACTTGATTGAGGCATGGATTTGGAGCCTTGGGCATGTGATTGAATTCTCTAATTCTGGGTACAGTCCTCATCCACACGCACTTCTAATAGACTGTACAATTTTTCTTTCTAAATTCTGAGGCTGCTCACTAAAGGCGGTGTGCATGTGGGACTATGTCACTCACGGGCTCCCCATCGCAACAACCTTCTCTTCTTTTTATCTTTTTACACTTCTTTAACTAAAATTTCAGATTTGAATATCTTTAATATTCTCATTTCTTTCTATTTTCTCTTTAATATATTTTAGTTCTTTTTCACGCTCTTATGAAGATGTATGCATGTAGATGGTTTCATGCTTATAATTCTTTCTAAATGCAAATGTTTAAATGCAAGGATGCCATGTAGCATAAAAATAAGTTTCTCTTTACCATCTACAAACTCATATCAATTCATAAATGAGTAAAACTCATGCATACACTTCTCTTGGACATTTCATCAAACATATTGCATGCATAATCAAACTCTAATTTGATTACAATTCTATCTCTTTCTCAAGCCACCAATATTTGGAATAAAACTCCCTTAAACAATTTCCAAACTTGCACATAACAATACACTCCAAAAAATTCTACTCAACTCTTTCTAATTTCAACCAAACTTCAATTAATCATCATACAACCAAAACCACTTCTCATGGCTAAATTCTATTCATCAATAATCATCAAACTCATCAATAATTCATCAATTTCAGCAACAATTCTTAAAATCATAAGCATATACATATATGTAAAATCTTTGCACATTTGATTTCTCAAATCATAACTTGGGTGGGATTTACTTACATTGTGCTTGAGTAATTCCACTAGAATCTCTCTTTCTTTGGTAGACTTGTTCTTTCTCTAAAACCCTAAGCATAAACACTATAAGAATTCAACACTTTAAAAATTAATCCACATCTATGCAAGAATTCTTACCTTTGGGTGCTTAGGATCAAATCTCTACCAAAATCCAACCAAAAGCCCTCTAAAATCCCTTGGAAATTTGATGAAGAGATGAGAGAAATTGAGAGTGAAGTGGTGTGAGAGGGAGTTGAGAATGATATGGTCTTTTTGCTTGAACTCTTAATATCTCATATTAATATGTATACTTTCCCATTTTGCCCTTGCACTTTCTTTAAAATTTCATCTATGTCCCTCAGTCAATTACCATAATGCTCACTTTTATTGCATTCTCCATGAAATTCTACCTATTTTCACTCCCCATATTTTTCAACTAATTTTGAGTGAAAAGTCTATTTTTCCCTTAATGCAAGTTTAAGGCATTTTCTTCAAATTTTCTCAAAATAACTATGGTAAAAAATCAACTAAGGGTATATGAACATAAATTAAATTATGTACCTCTATGTGGGCATTACAATGGATGTCCGTCCATATTTGATGAACGACCGTTCATCACAAATGGACAAATGTCCATGAAAATGACAATGGACTCCCGTCCATATTATTTGGATGGGAATCCATCTGCCATGGACAGGCATCCACCTCATATGGATGCCTGTCCATAAAATTTTAGAAATAAAATAATGGACGCTCGTCCATATAATATGGACGGGCATCCATCACGAATTCACCATCTATAATTTTTAATGGAAGGCCAAACCTTTGACTCTAGATGGGTGTCCACTTTTTGGGAGTTTTATTTTCTAAGCTTTTTTTTTTTTTTTTTTAAGTGTACTGGGCATAGCAGGAGCACATTTTATGCCCCACCTTCAATGCTAGTTGATTATGGACAAAAAGGCTTGGCTTTGGATGGGTGTCCATTGTTTGGGAGTCACAACACTATGTTTATTTTCTAAGCATTTTTTTTAAGTGTAGTGGGCATAGTAGGAGCATTCAAGTTACCCACTCATTTTAAATAAATAATTTGACAAGTTATGTTCTCATTGAAAATGGACGCCTATCCATATAATGTGGATAGGCGTCATTTTTTTTTTTTTTATAATTTAAATTATGAACAGGTGTCTATTCGAGGACGCTTATCTATAGGAAATGGACTCCCATCCATTCAATGTGGACGACAGTCCATTGTTATTTTGATATAGCAATTTGTCCCCATTGGTGGGCAGTCATCCATTCGTGATGAACAGCCATCCATTAACTATAGACGGGCATCCATAATTGTTGGACGGTCATTCATTTACGGAAGTGTGTTTTATCTCTAACGTGACCACGTCTGACTGGATGCCACGTCCTCTGGTACAAAAACTCGGTGCAAAAAATCGTTGTCCGTAGCATCATAGATGAAAAAAAGGTGTGCCTGACACTATAACATTGTTGATTAGGGAGAATGACATTTTCCCACCCAAGGTTTGCCTTTCGGCGTTTTTTCAAAACGACACTTTCCCACTTATATTAAAATCCATTTGTCAAGTTTAATTGAAGAAGGATATAATAGTAAATTCAAAAAATAGTTTGATGATAATTATGTCATTTTATTATCTATATATAAACTTACACTAAATTATAAGTACAAAAACATTGGGTAAGAAAGTGTCGTTTTAAAAGTTGATGGCTAGAAAAAGTATCGTTTTGAAACTTAAAAGTGTGGAAAAATGTCGTTTGGCCAAACCTGGGTGCGAAAATGTCATTCTCCCTATTGATTATTCTGATATTGTGTTTGTTTACTTTGAGTAGTGGAGGGAAAATATTAAATATTTATCTGTCAAAATCTCAAATTCAAATCGAGCAAGATATATTATACTAAATCTCTCCACCAACATCTTGAGATCTATGACAAGATATATTATAATAACATTATTATAAATTGTAACTAATTTAATATACATATATAGAAACTTCAGTGAGACCAAATCTAGGAAGACTAACACAAGTACAGTCTAACCAAAATAGAAAACTAAGCAAAATTAATGGAAGAGCAACCCACATATTCCCACCCTAGGTTTAGCGAAATGTTAATACTCTGGTTGTATTTATTCCAGATTTTCACCTTTCAAATAATGTTGTATTTATTCCAGATTTTAATAGATTTTCAATATTTCACTATAGCGCAACGCATGTTGGCTTAACAAATTCCCAACTTTACACTATAGTGCCATGCATGTTAGCACGCTAAAGTGCTCTTGCACTTTCTTTGGCTTAAGAATGGCTCATGTTCGTAAAAAGTGGTCCATGTTAGCAGCATCCAAACCAACGATTTTTGCCTTTTTTTTTTTTGCCAATTCCGAAGTCCAAAATCACTTTCAAGACCACCGTTGAACTCCTTACAACCTCCTCTACAAAACTGATATCTTCACTTGCCGACCTCATTCACTGTTTTCGACCACCTACAACACTAACGGTGTTAGTTTAAGGTGAGAATCTGGAATAAATACAATCAAGGGTGTCTAACTTGGCATTTCACTAAAACTTGGGTGGAAATATGTCATTTACTCTTAACAAAAAATCAAAGCTAGTGATTAATTACCCCCCTTTAATCTGTATGTTAAAAATTTGATTATGTCTAGACCTAAGAATTACTAGAAAGGGAAAAATTAAAGTAGATAGTATTTTGTATTAAAATATGTCTAAACTTATCTTATAATGTTTATTATAATGAGTTAACCAACGATCACATTCTATACATAGCTAACCATTGAGTTCACTATCTGCAGCAGCTCTTCCTTTTGACGCTGTAGAATTTATAGGAAAAACATTGCATTATAATTATGTCTTTAACATGGACCTTAGTAGTAGTCTTTACTCTTTTCTTCTTTCTACAATAATTGAAATGGGCTAGAAGTACAAGGAGTAAAAGGTTTCCTCTAGGTCCAAGAGGGTTCCCAATTTTGGGAAGCCTTCATTTGATGGGGAAGTTTCCTCCCAGAGATTTTCATTAGCTTACCAAAAAATATGGCTCCATCATGTTCTTACGTTTGGGCTTGATTCCGACTATTGTTGTCTCATCACCTCACATTGCTGAACAGTTCCTGAAAACTCATGACCTAATTTTTGCCAGCAGGCCTCCTATTGATACTTTAAAGCACATGGCTTATGGTCAAAAGAACCTTGCCTTTTCTCCATATGGATCTTATTGGCGAACCATGCACAAGATTTGCATGCTGGAACTTCTAAGCAAAAATAAGATTAGTTTGAACCAAGATATTAGAAAAGAAGAGCTTGATCTCTTGATTAAGCACATAAAAGAGGCTGTTGGTACCGATGTTACTGTTGATCTAAGTGCCAAAGTCACATCTCTCAGTGTAGACCTAACTTGTAGAATGGTGTTTGGGAAGAAATATGCAGATGTAGATTTCAATGAGAGAGGATTCAACACTATGTTTCAAGAGGCCGTAAAATTGGCAGACATTAGTAACTTGAATGATTACATTCCTCAAATTGCTTCACTTGATCTACAGGGACTGACAAAGCGCACGAAAGTAGTTGCCAAGGTGTTTGACGACTTCTTTGAAAAGATTATTGATAAGCATGTTCAATCCAAGGATGAAAATATAACCAAAGACTTTGTTGGTATAATGCTGAGTTTCATGGGATTACAAGAAACTAAGGACAAAATCAAGCAAGAGCAAGTCAAAGCCATGCTCTTTGTAAGTGTTAGTGTTTTTGTCATCTTATGATCCATTGTGCAAACACTTCTAAATGTAACCACCTTCACAAGTGTGAGCACTTTTACCTATGTGTGTTGACAACGTTTTTGGCAGATTTTTTCGTCAAATCACACTTCACGTATTTGTTTTCACTTTTGGACAGAATTATTCCTTGATTGATTTTCTGTCTTATTCTTTACACTTGTCTCATGTTTATTCGTTGTGTAAGAAAAAAAAATATTTCTTTTGTCTATGGTCCCAAAAAAAATTTAAAAAAAAAAAAAAAAAAAAGTTAATGTTTAACTTTTTTGTCCCCCAACCTTTAACATGTTGATCACTTTATATTCTCCCGTTGTGTTTTGTTTTATGAGAAACTTGATTACATTGTTTTGCCTCTCTGAATATTCTCTGAGGTTCTTGTTTTGGTTAAGGTTTCTTATTATGCTTTGGTAGGCTTAAAATTACGCTCTTCACTTGTTCTTGTGTGATGACTTTGGAACTTGAGTCCATGTTGATGCTTGGATTGTGCAAGCTGCTGTCCCAAAGTTGATCCTATATTGTTGAAACTTGAAAGAAGCTCAAGTGCAACCTAGTGGTCTCGTGTGTGAAGCTTGCTATGGTGGCTTAAAGTTGAACCAAAGAAGATAGAATTGTCATGTAGAAAATAGGGAGTGATTTTGCAACTTTGGTTATCTTGCTTTGTATTTGAACTCATAAGTTTTTCATAGTGAATTTGCTTCCTCTAGACGTGGTCCCATGGATGTAAGCTTGATGTCGAACCATGTAAAAATAAGAGTGTTCTTTACTTGGTTTTATGTATGATTTAATTCAGTTATTCTCAACTCATTTGCACTAAATTGAACAAGCAACCCATTCCACATAAGTTTCAATCACTTGGTTACCCCTTTAAAACTTACATTTGGTAGCAGAGTAGGTTTTGAAAAATTATTTCAATTGATCCTTTCTTGTGTCTGGTTAAAGAGATCAGCTCGTTTTTTGCTCTGTGTGATCACCTCTTTTTGTGTGACCATATTTTTTGTTCTATCATTATTAGTTTCTTTGCGGAAGGTGGATCTACTTATAGACCACCATTGTTGGAGGGAACTAGTTTTTCCTTTTTTGAGACCTAGGATGAAAGCCTTCTTAAAATCTATTGATGAAAGGGCTTGGAAAGCTTGTGTCATTGGTAGGAAAGAACCACAAGTTGTAGGTGCAGAAGGTAGTAATAGGGGAAAGCCCCTTGATCAATGGACTAAAGCTGAGTTAGAAGAATCTAATTTCAACTCTAAATCTTTTCATGCACTCTGTAATGCTATCAGTATTGGCCAAATAAAAAACATAGCCAACTGTGAAATAACTAAAGATGCATGGGATAGACTCCAAGTTAAGAATGAAGGAACTAACACTGTCAAAAAGACCAGACTTAGGAGATTGATTACTAATTATGAAAATCTTTTTATGCATGATGATGAGTCTATCACTGATTTTCATGGTAGGTTATGTGATATCACGAATGAATGCTTTGCTTTGGGTAAAATCTATAATGATGCTGAACTTGTCAGAAAAGATTTGTGTTCTCTGCCCAGGAAAAACGGAAATTACTTTCCTAGACCTTCCCTAAAAGATAGACTCCAAAAACTGTCAATCCTTATCAAATATGGAAAACAGAACCCGTAATCCAGCTTGCACCAAGATTCTCACAATGTAAAAGAACTTTTCTGGGCTTGTTCACTTCATAAAAGTTGTATTGCCGGATGTGTAGATGAATTTAGGCTTTTGAATCACCTGCTTTCAATGTCTGAAGCTCCAGTTAGGCCCATTCAAAGACTCAATAGTCAGCCAGGAAATCCTTCCGCGAATAGGATCCAGGTCCGGTTTTGCAACAACTAATGATGTCCCAAAAAAACTCGGATTCTCGCCCATAATACCTTCCTGGAAAGCTTGATTTGTCTACTTTACTTTTTCTGAAGAACACTTTTGCAATCGAGATATCTGACTTCATGAAAAACCTGAAAAATGCAGCACTGGTCAGAATAACAAAAAATCTGGAATTTCCTAATCTTTTCTCAATTATTTCATAAAATCTATCCAAATATGCCAAACTTACAAAATAAACTCTAATCAACTCAACTAGGCATAAAACATAACAAAAAACATAATATGGAAGAAATAAAAATATATAAATTAAATTCCCCCACACTTAGCTTTTGCACGTCCTCGGGCAAACTAATTCAAACACTAAAAAAACTACACTCAAGTCATATCAAGAACACCATCATGATGCATAAGCAACAATATTTAATCCATGCATATTCATTCCTGACTTAGGAAGCAACAAAATAAAATAAAGTAGAGTTAAGGACATTCATCTCTCTTCATCATTTTCCACAATTACTCTCAATCAGTCAATGTGAACAAGGGAACTAATCACAACCAATTCATGCACAACTCACCTCTCAACTTTTTCCTCAACTGTTTCTCTTTACTACTACAAACTGGGTAGCAAACTAGGGATATTTTTTTATATTTTTCTATTTTGAAAAAAATGAGTGCATTTTATGCTCCATCTCATTTCAGGGTTGTGTTCATGAGTGAGTGTGTTTTACGCTCCATCTCGACCCATCACATACCTTTTTTTTTTTTTTTTAATTCCTATTTACTTAAACCCAAATTTAGGACTAGCTTAAGAGAAACAATTTTTCTTTTTTCTTTTTCTTTTTTTTAAGGGTTGTTATACACTCCTCAATCATGCTTCAGCACCAAGTTCGCTCAACTTATCAAGACATATTGTTTCAAAACTACAAAGATTCAACTATGATTAACTCTATTTTATGAAATATTGCTAACATCCTAAGTCAAAGAATATGCTCAATAACAAAGTCAAGTTACTATTCCATGCTCACTAGACGTTCAAGGACTACTTAAAGCATAAACCTTCTTAAAACAAATTCCTTTTTTTTTTTTTAAGTTAAAAAAAAAAAAAAAAAAAAAAAAAAAAAAAAAAAAAAAAACTAACATACACCTAAAGCCTGACTCTCCCCCACACTTAAAACTTACATGTCCCCAATGTAAAACCCCAAGTGTAGACCAGGCAATAAAACAAATAAAACAAAAAAAAATATGGCAAAATAAAAAAAAACTAAATTCAAAGGAAAAGAAAATCAAATCTGAATTCTTGGGTTGCCTCCTAAGCAGCGCCTCTAGTTAAAGTTGTTAGCCCGACTCTCTGCATCGTCTTCACTACTCAGGTATCGATTCCTCCAATCGCAGCTCCTCAATATTGCAAACTTGGAACCCTTCATAGTAAGGCTTAAGCCTATGTCCATTGACCTTAAACACCTTGTTTGTTTTCAAACTTTGGATTTCTACTGCACCATGATGAAAAACATTAGTCACAATAAAAGGTCCCACCCAACGAGAACGTAACTTACGTGGAAATAACTTCAGCCTTGAATGAAAAAGGACACTCTGTCCAACAGAAAAATTCTTCTTGTAGATCAACCTATCATGAAAGGCCTTAGTCTTTGCTTTGTAGATGTTTGAACTCTCGTAGGCGTCATTCCTCAACTCCTCAAGTTCTTGCAATTGCAAATTCCTGATATCACCAGCTTCCTTCATTTCCATATTACAATGCTTGATTGTCCAATAGGCCTTGTGCTTTAATTCTACTAGAAGATGACATGGCTTACCGAACACTAATCTGTATGGGGACATGCCAATCGGTGTCTTATATGTTGTTTTGTATGCCCATAATGCATTATCTAATCTCAAAGACCAGTCCTTCCTGTTTGGGTTCACTGTCTTTTCCAAAATTGACTTGATCTCTCTATTTGACACCTCAGCTTGGCCATTGGTTTGTGGGTGGTATGATGGGGAGACCTTGTGTGTGACATGGTATTTCTTAAGCAATGCCTCCATTGTCTTTTTGCAAAAATGAGTTCCCTTATCACTGATTATGGCCCTTGGTATCCCAAACCTGATAAAAATGTTAGTTTTAACAAAATCTGCAACAACCTTTGAAGTGTCAGTTCTAGTGGCTTTTGTCTCCACCCATTTGGAAACATAATCAACAGCTAAAATAATATAAACATTACCAAAGGAAATAGGAAATGGACACATAAATCAATGCCCCATACATCAAAAATTTCAATAATTAATATAAGAGATTTTGGCATTTGATCTCTACGAGAAATGTAGGCATCCTTGAACAATGATGGCCAATAAAAACTGCATTCCAATACCATACGAGCTGTCCTTTGTGGTCCAAAATGTCCTCCACATGCATAGGTATGACAGAAAGTTAGAATAGGAATAAATTCATGTTCAGGTACGCACCTTCTTATCACTTGGTCAGCACAATGCTTCCACAGATATGGATCGTCCCAAGCATAATACTTAGCATCACTCTTGATCTTATCCTTTTGAGCTCTAGTCAAATCCTTTGGCAACACGTTAGTAACTAAAAAATTTACAATATCTGCATACCATGGTGACACCATTGCAATGGAAAACAATTGCTCATCCGGAAATGTTTCTCGCAAAGAAAGCTCATCATTGTCACAAACCAAACGGCTAAGGTAATCTGCTACAACATTCTTTGCTCCCTTTTAATCTTTAATCTCCAAATCAAATTCCTGGAGTAGAAGAATCCATCTAATTAGCCTTGGTTTTGCTTCCTTTTTTGTGAGCAAGTACCTAAGAGTTGCATGATCAGAAAAAACAATGACTTTAGCACCCAACAAATATGACCGAAATTTTTCTAAAGCAAAAACAACAGATAAAAGTTCTTTTTCAGTCATAGAATAATTTAGCTGGGCGCCATTCAAGGTCTTGGATGCATAATAAATGACGTGACAAGCTCTGCCAACTCTTTGACCCAAGACAGCACCTAACGCATAGTTGCTCGCATCATGCATAATTTCGAAAGGTAAATCCCAATTAGGTGGTTGTATCATCGGTGCTGTTGTCAACAATGTTTTCAACTTGTCAAATGCCTCCTTGCACTGCTCATCAAACTGAAAATCCACATCTTTTTGTAACAATCTGCATAGGGGCAATGCGATTTTTGAAAAGTCCTTGATAAATCTCTGATAGAAACCTGCATGGCCAAGAAAAGATTGAACTTCCCGCACACTGGCGGGGTAAGGTAAAGCAGTAACCAAATCTATCTTAGACTTATCAACCTCTATTCCCTTGGATGAAACAATATGCCCCAAAACTATACCTTGCTCTACCATAAAATGACATTTTTCCCAGTTAAGTACAAGGTTAGTTTCCATGCATCTATCTAGAATTAGTGTAAGGTTATGTAAGCACTGATCAAACGAATCACCATAGACACTAAAATCATCCATAAAAACCTCTATAATTGACTCGACATATTCTGAAAAGATATTTACCATACATTGCTGAAATGTGGCTGGAGCATTGCAGAGACCAAATGGCATTTGGCGATAGGCGAAAGTACCAAATGGACATGTGAATGTCGTCTTCTCTTGATCCTCCAGCACTCTGAAAAACTGGTTATACCCTGAAAATCCATCAAGAAAATAGTAATAAAGATGACCAGCTAACCTCTCAAGCATTTGATCAATAAAGGGAAGTGGAAAATGATCTTTTCGAGTTGTTGAGTTCAACTTCCAGTAATCAATGCACACACGCCAACCTATCTAAACATGTGTAGGGACCACCTCATTGTCTTGATTTTTCACCACTATAACACCAGATTTCTTGGGGACCACTTGCACTGGACTTACCCACTTACTGTCTAATATCGGATAAATTACCCTAGCATCTAAAAGCTTTAAGATTTCTTTTTTCACCATATCCATCATTGGGGTATTTAATCTACATTGCACTTCCCATGTCAGTTTGGCACCTTTTTCAAGCAAATTCCGATGCATGCATATGGAAGGACTAATCCCCTTAATGTCAGCTATGGTCCAACCAATTGCTTCCTTGTGTTCCAGCAACATTCGAACCAGTTTCTCTTCTTGATTGGGTGTTAACTTCTTTGACACAATTATCGGCAATGTCTCATTTTCTCCCAAGTACACATACTTCAAATGGCTCGGTAATGGCTTTAACTCTAGTGTAGGAGCTTGCAATGTTAGGAAACGATCCATTGAGGCAGTGGAAAACAAAAATTAATAACAACTCAGATCGTTCCATAGAACCCAAAATCAGGGCATAGAAATTACAGTTTATGCAAAAACAAGAATCTGCAGAAAATTAATCTAGAGTTTAAGAAACCATACGCACGTTTGGAGGCTCCTCCAAGTTGTCTCTGAATATATTTAGCTACCGACCCAAGTGTAGGATCGAACCGACGTAGTGCACACAAAGACAATCGCAAGGAACTAAGGAGGGATTTGCTAGATCTTCCTTAGCCTTAAGAAACAAGAAGCAAAAATCAAAGAAAACTTTGATTCTTAGCAAAACTAAAATCTGGCATGGGATAGTGTTAAGGGGCTGGAGAGTTTTTCACTCAAATGAAAAAGTAATGAATGAATAAAATGAATTTCCTTCTTTTTCAAAGAAACCTTTTTCTTTTATAGTAAAATTTAATTGCCCTATTCCCATATGGAATAGGCTTGGGCTCCAACCCAAACACCCCATGTTTCCAAACACTCCCAATTAGATATTTATTTTATTTCATCATTATCTTAATTAAAAATCAATTAATATATATTTAATATATATATTAACATTTAACAATAATGATAATATATTTAAATATATGCTAACACATATTTAATTGTAATTTCACTTATTTAATTTTTCCAACAAATTAAATAAAGGCTACTACCTCAGCAAATTTAATTGCACTGTGAAATTATCAAAATACCCTTTCGCCTAAAAAGACGAAAATGCCCTTCTTACTTCTCGAGTCTTAAATTATCTTCTATGTGTGTGAACCACAGGCTCCTCATCATACCGGTTGTGTACAGTATCGCGATTAACACCAATTAATCGTCTCACTAATACACAGACCAAGATTGGCCTCTAGCAAGGCATCATGGCCACTCGATAGATTCGAATTCAGCAAAGTAGCTACCTGTCAACGATATAGTTATCGTACAATTCGATCCTTTTATCATCCGTTATCTCGACGAGACAAAGGCATAGAAATAGTGTCAACCTTCGGTTACTCTCGATATTATGTATTCAGTTTCTGAACCAATGACCTGTATTATAAACTAGATAGAACAACAACTCAATCCCATTGTGACCACAGTTTTAATGTCGTTGCCATATATTTAATTGTGCCATGAGATAACTTTCTCCCATACCCAGGAGTGATGAATCCTATGTCTATTTACCATAGTCTTGATACACTCCTTGATGCAGCAAATTACCACCGTATTGACAGCTCTGAAAAGAATTGCATTACGCTAATGTCAAACTACACCAATCGGTGCACAAGGCGCTTCGGTGATCTCAAGTCTAAGGATCACATGCACCACCATTTGTTAGAGGATTTGTTCCATAGACACTGGGTTACCATCCATATGAAATCCTCTATTAGGTCAGTCCAGTGAACTTGTTGCTGTGTATTAGCCTACACCAAACACCCATGTATTGCACCAGGTTGTCACCAAACAACCTTGACAAGTGAGATCAGTCACTACCTTTCGACAGGGTCATTCAACACTATGATAGCCTTACAATAATATCTATGCCCTTACTTAAGAATAATACTGGGGGTATGGACGTTTCTAGAATGGCCACCATATGTGCTCATAGGGTTCTCACTATCAAGATTTGAAACACTAGATACCCTCATCATGGTTCTACCATTCTAAGGACATATATCAATACATATTGCAGTACTAATGATTTACGCAATATAGAATAAAATGCCTTTTATTGATTAATGAACATTATTACAAAGAGTCAATTCTACAATAATTGATTGGCTCTAGGGCATCTACTCTAACATGAAAAACAGAAGGCAATAATTTCTGGTGAGAATCAGGCAGCTTTATAAAAGAAACTCCATACCTTTCTGGAATCAATTTTAAAGAATGTAAAGCCGCCACTGTCTCCTTCAATTCTTCACTGAGCTCTATCTCTCATTTCTCCTCTGATTCCACATGTTTGGTAAGGAAAACCTCTAACTCATCTGCATTATTTAGCTCAAACATCTCTTGTGCTATGGAATCAAAAGAATCAATAACATCAATCTCAAAAATAGACTGAACATCAGTTGGATATTTCATGGCATCAAAAATATTAAAACGAATTACTTCACCATCAAATTCCATCATAAGGGTACCGTCATGAACATCGATTTTTGTCCGAGCTACATTTAGGAATGGTCTTCCCAGTAAGATGGGTGCAGGGTCAGGAGAAGAAGAATCATCCATATCCAGAATGTAAAAATCAGCAGGAAACACTAACTCATTGACCTGCACAAGAACATCTTCAACTACCCCTTCAGGGTATGCATTAGTGCGATCAACCAATTGGATAATAACACCAGTATCTTTCACAAGACCTAGATTTAATGAAACATAAATAGATCGTGGCATAACAGTAATTGAAGCTCCTAAATCTAGCATAGCTCTCTCAATTCTGGTGTTACCTAACTTACAAGGAATTGTAAACATACCTAGATCCTTGCACTTGGGAGGAAGTTTTCTTTGGAAAACTGCTGACACATTTTCTCCCATTATTATCTTCTCATCACCGTTTAACTTCCGCTTATTGGTGCATAGCTCCTTAAGAAATTTTGCATACTTGGCATTTGCTTAATTGCATCCAACAGAGGTATATTCACTTCAACCTTGCGAAACGTCTCCAAAATTTCTTTTTCTCTTCTTCCTTTAACTTTGCGAATCTGCTAGGAAAAGGTGAAGTATTAGACTGAAGTTGAATTGAAGGGTTAGGAATTACATTTGATTCAGTTGTAGCCTCTTCTTTCTCAATTTCATCTTCAATTTCTGCTTCCTTTGCTACACTTGGAATGTTCAACTTTGGTTCTTCCACTTTCTTGCCACTTCTTAGCGTCACTGCATTCACATTTTCCTTTGGATTCACCACTGTTTGAGAAGGCAAATTCCCTCCAACTTGAGCTTCTAAACGACTTATAGTAGTTGCCATTTGACCCATCTGATTCTACAGACATTGAATACTAGATCTTTTATCTTGTTGAAACTATTTGGTATTCAAAGTAAGGAACTTAACCATATCTTCTAGGGATGAGTTCGAATTTTGTGAGGCCGGTTGCTTTGGTTGAAAACCTTGTTGTTGTCTATTCTGGAAGAAATTTTGTCCAACTCCTACTTGTCTATTTCCTCCATAATTGAAATTCGATTGATCCCTCCAACCTGGATTGTACATGTTGGAGTAAGGATCATACTGCCTCAGTGGTCTAGGAAAGTTTCCTACTGTATTGACCTGCTTAGCCCCTTCCTCTTGAAGTGTTGGGCATATGTTTGTTTGGTGTCCCATTGTGGAACATATCCTATAAGCTTTTACCTGTTGTGCATTCCCTACAGCCAATTGTCTAACAAGAAAGGTAAGATCAGATAATTATTGTTCAATGGAAGATGTAATTACCTCATTTACCCTTTTGGGTTGTGCATCGTGTCTTGTACCAAACTGTTGGGAGTTGGCAGCCATGTTTGAGATTAATTGTTTGGCAGCTTCAGGAGTGTTATCCACCAACGCACCTCCACTTGCTACATCTATCATGTTTCTTTCCATAGGCAGCAATCCTTCATAGAGATATTGAATTAACAATTGATCACTTATCTGGTGGTGAGGACAGCTTGCAAATAGCTTCTTGAATCGCTCCCAATAGTCATACAATGTCTCTCCATTATATTGCCTTATACCACATATCTCCTTCCTGATAGTGGCAGCTCTGGATGCTGGGAAATATCTTTCTAAAAACAGCCTTTTCATCTCATTCCATGTTGTGACTGTCTCCGATGGTAGATAATAGAGCCAATCCTTTGCATCATCCTCCAATGAAAAAGGAAAAGCTCGCAACTTAATCTACTCCTCTGTCACCCCTGTCGGTTTCATGCTTGAACAGACAACGTGGAACTCTTTTAGATGTTTATTTGGATCTTCACTTGCACAACCACGAAATGTAGGCAACAAGTGAATTAGACCAGACTTCAGTTCAAAAGCAACATCTAAAGTAGGGTACTGAATACACAAAGGCTGTTGATTAAAATTAGGGGCAGCCAGCTCCTTTAATGTTTTGCTAGCGGCGGCCATCTCTTCGTCTTTTTTTGAACCTGGATCACTGGATGAACTGTGGGATGTTGAACCAAAGGCTATATTGAGACTAGGAGATGAAGAACTTGCTTGACGTGCCTCTTTTCGTAACTTTCGTAAACTGCATTCGATTTCTGGATCAAATTCCAACTCTCCTATAGAATTGGATCGAGTCATAAACCACTAAAATTACCAAATTAAGCCTAAATAACTAAAAACTAATAATAATAAAAAACAATTCTCTTGATAAAAACTAAAATTGGCCAAAATCACTATTAAATGATCGAATTTTACGATGAGAGGGTGGGGCTAGAACGTTTCTAGTCTTGCTCAGAATTTCATTTACTTTGAAACAGGTACTCGTAACGCTCCTAATTCAACCAAAATTTGTCTTATGAATAGTATACTATTCATGAACAGGACTACTGCTCAATTTTTTTTTTCTTTTTTTTTTTTTCAAGAATCTTAAAAAAAAAAACACACAATTGAATAATTGAACAGAATGAAAAACACAACTAAACTAAACATTGATTAAATGAAATAACAAAAGAACATAGAACATAAAAAAAATCGACAAAGAACATTCCCCGGCAATGGCGCCAAAATATGGTAGCGTGCCAAATGCTCCAAATTAATAACCTTCCTAACCTAACTACTGAATGGCATATAGGATAAGCAAGGGTCGATCCCACAGGGAATGATTCGATTAAATCCTATGTTCTAACCACTAACCACAACGAAAACAATAGTAAAATAAAATAAAATCCTAAACAGTAAACATGACAACAAAATAAAGAAAGGGGTTGTAGACAATGCAATCTAAAGTGAAACAAATAAATCTCCAATGGTAGAAAATATTAGATTAAAAACAACTAGTCCTCGGTTCAGGATCTACCTAAACATGCATTGGATATGAACTAATTGTAACATTATTCTATCTCGTTATTATGGAATTATTGACACTAGGAAACAACAAGCTCTGTTACCCAAATTTTCCCTTAATTGTCACTACTGAATTAAGCTCTTCAATTAGATCCTAACCCTTGAACAACCTAGAATAAGCTCTCTAAGTTTAATTCAATGGCAGCCTTAAGAGTTAGGAAAATAGATCAATCCAATCAACAATCACACAAGATCAGATTATTTAACTTAGGTTATGTTATTCAAGGTAACAGATTGAAAACTTGTCCATAATCATCTATCATTATGTGTTACTTACTTAATAGAAAGAGGACGATTACGTATCACAATTTCTAATTCTAACAGATGAAATTCTGATTAAACAATTTAGCAGGTCATTACTAAATCACCCAAACAAAATCATAAACAATTAAAACAGAATAACATAAACAATTCCAATAAGAACGAGATTAAGAGCAATGTTACTAAAGTTAAGTTACACCAATGACATGAATTCAGGCTTCAAAATCCCCTTAAACTAAAGAAGAAAGATCAGTCGCACATCTTGATGTAGAAGGTAAAAAACTTCGAAAAAACTCTACTGCCGTTCTCCCCTGTTTAACCTAACAACTCATGAATAAATAACATGTTTTTTTTCCTCAATTCTATCCTAGGAAAAACAAAAATTACTTTCGTAGACCTTTCCTAAAAGATAGACTCCCAAAACTGTCAATCCTTATCAGATATGGAAAACAGAACCCGTAATCCAGCTTGCACTAGGAGTCTCACAATGTAAAAGAACTTTTCTGGGCTTGGTCACTTCATAAAAGTTGTAGTCCTGCATGTGTATATGAATTTGGGCTATTGAATCACTTGCTTTCGATATCTAAAGCTCCAGTTAGGCCCATTTGAAGACTCAATACTCAGCCAAGAAATCCTTCCATGAATAGGATTCCAGGTCCGGTTTTACAACAACTAATGATATCTCAAACAAACTCAGATTCGCACCCGTAATACCTTCTTGGAAAGTTTGATTTGTCTACTTTACTGTTTCTAAAGAACACTTTTGCAATCGAGAAATCTGACTCCATGAAAAACTGAAAAACGCAGCACTGGTCAGAATAACAAAAAATCTGGAACTTCCTAATCTTTTATCAATTATTTCATAAAATCTATCCAAATATGTCAAACTTACAAAAAAAAAAAAAAAAAAAAACTCTAATCAACTCAACTAGGCATAAAACATAACAAAAATCATAATATGGAAGGAATAAAAATATATAAACTATACTCTTATCATGGGACTAGACAGGATGGTTGAAGAATCAGATTTGGAGAACCTGTAATACTTAGACATGGTTGTGAGAAACCTTGACGCTCCATCTTGTATCACCTCTAATCCCTTATGAATCCACGAAAGATTCCATTGTAGATGGCTATCACATACGGAAAAATTCACACGTTTTTTGTAAATGTATGGACAATCGGAAGAGATCCTGACTGATCCTAAGAATTTTTTTCCCTAAAAGGTTTGTTGGGAATGATTTCGTTCTTCGTGGCCGCCACTTTCAGCTTTCTCATTCGGCTCTGGCCGAAGAATCTACCCTGGAATGTAATTGGGACTCATAGTATTAAAGCTAGTGCTAGCACAACTTGTGCATTGCTTTGATTAGGAGCTTCCAAATGGGATGTTGCCAAGTGAATTAGACATGACTGAGGAGTTTGTTCTTGCAATGTATAGAACAAATAAACTTGTGGGTATTCCTACTTACCATCTGGACAAATATTAATTTGACCTGTGTAATTTTTGATATTGTCCTCGCTCCTCAATCATGCATATCAGAATTTGCATTATGCTGAATAATTTCTTTTGTACGGTAATAAATGGCATTTCAGAACTAACTAGCATTCTAGCCACAATATTATTTCTATTTACAAATAAGGATTTTCATTATCTTTATTTTATCATTTTTCTTCTTGTATTTAAATAAGAGTGAACCCCAGATTGTAAAATTGTACTCTTTGTCCATGGACGCTTGACATGCAAGGGCCACATGGTTGGTTTATTGGTTTTACCAAAATCTTTGGGAAGAATAATTTCTCCTTTATCACATTTAATACAGTCAGAAGTCCATGTTTCAGTGGAAAGAAATGAGGTTCAACATGAACACAGCTTATGCAAAAAAATTGTAACTAACAATATTGACATGTGTTGATACAGTGATACCTTGCTAGAAATGCATCAACACTATAGGTTTCAATTGGAACTTTTTGGAGCATGTTGAAGTTAGTTTGCTGCAGTTGGTCTAACATGCATTGCTGCATCTTTTTGGTGCATTGTAGTTGAATGGCTTAAGTGTAATTAAGTCAGTAATATGATGTATTTTGAGTATGGATTATTGGTTGTTAAAATTTAAATTCAAATTTGTATATGTCTGCTATAGTTGTTGTAATAGTGGATAGTTGTTATGCTGCTGTATATATTGTCCAGTTTGAATGAAAGAATTAGACTTTTTGCACATAAGTTTTGTTACTCTTTTTCTTTCCTTTGTATTCTCCGGCCTAGAACCATCAAATGGTATCAAAGCCACCCACAAAAATCTGAAACTTATTGCATCCAACCATCAACCACAACTCACCTTCCATATTCAGCTAAAATCAACCTGCATCCACTCACTTTCTTTCTACGACAGACACAAAAACTGAGACATGGCAACTCAATCTACTTTGATGGCACCATCGGTGTTTAATGGGGAACATTACCACATATTAGCTATTAGGATGAAGGCCTTCCTCCAGGGTCAAGGGCTGTGGCAGTATGTGGAAGAAAACAAGCAGCCACCTCCCATTAGGACAAAATCCTACCTTGAATCAAATGAGACTGCATGAGGAAGAAACAACCAAGGCACCAAGAGCTCTCTCTCACATTCATGTAGCAGTGACTGACCTTGTATTCATAAGGATCATGGCATATGAGACTCTAAAGGAAGCATGGGACAAGCTAAGAGAAGAGTACATGGGCAACACCACAATAAGGAACATGTAGGTGCTTAATCTAAGGAGAGAATTTGAGATGTAGAGGATGCAGGAATCATAGAAAGTCAAGGATTATGTTGACAGATTTATAAGTGTTGTCAACAAAATAAGGCTGTTGGGAGTGGAGTTGACAGATAGAAGAGTGGTGGAAAAGGTCTTGGTGAGCTTGCTGGAGAGATTTGAGTCTAAAATCTCTTCCCTTGAGGACTCTAAGGACATGACTCACATCACTTTGACTGAACTTGTTCATGCTCTCCAAGTTCAAGAACAAAGAAGACTCTTGAGGCAAGAAGACACAAGTGAGGGAGCAATGGTAGCAAACCAAAAAGGCAAGCCTAAGAAGGACAAAATATGAGGTATGCTAGGGATAAAAAAGGGAAAGAAAGGAGTAGCAATCAATGGGAGAAATCAGGAGGAGTGAAGGAGTATCCTGCTTGTACTCACTGCAAAAAGAAGGGACATTCGGAAAGGAGGTGCTGGTATAGACCAGGGATACAATGCAAAGGCTGCAAACAATTTGGACACATAGAGAAGGTTTACAGGAACAAGGGAAGCTAGCGAACACAGCAAGCTCCGGTTGGAGAAGATCAGCACCAATGCCAGGAGGCTAAACAACTCTTTGTGGCCTCCTGTTACATAGCACAAACTAGCAATGAAGCTTGGCTAATTGACAATGGCTACACCAACCATATGGCTGCAGACCTGCAAAGTTTCATCAACCTGGACAACTCATATTATTCCAG